CTCCAGTGTACTTCTCTGGGCTTCTCAAAGCAAAGCAAAACCTATACAGATACTGTAAAAACTTCAACTGCCACAAAAGGATGTGTCCTGAGGTCTGGCTGTCCCTAGTCCCCCGTCTCTCAGGTATTTTCCCTAAGAATCTCTGCTCCCAGTTTGATACTTAACCTGACCGGAGAACTCAGTGTATGTATGTGAAATGTGTCTTTTTTATACAAGTGTTAGCATTCTATACACATGCATTTCTCTCTTACTATATTTGAGAATAGTTCTGTATCAACACTTTCAGACCTGCCCATTCTTTTGTACCAGCTAGATGGTATCCTACCCTGTAAATGTTCCATAAGTTATTCAGCAAGCTTCCACTGAAGGACATTTGGGTGATTCCTCTTCATTTGCTATTTTTTTTGTGCTGCTTTGAGACTAGCCACTTGTCCAAAATGCAAGTTATTTAAAATGTAATGATAAGATCTCCATTTCTGTTTTTCTGTCCATTTTTCTAGTTCTACCATTCATCTTCTGTCTGTATTCTACCTCAGACTTCTGCCTCATGTGATCTCCTTGTTTTCCATCAGTACTTTAATTGTGAGGATCCTTTTCCTCCCTGAGCAATTTGAAGTAACTCCTAATCTTGAAGTATCAGTCTATGGCCACAAATCCATTTTTCTTTATAAAATAAAAGTAGCTGTATGAAAAAGACATATGCCCCCCTATGTTGATCGCAGCACTATTTACAATAGCCAAAAAATGGAAGCAACCTAAGTGTCCATCAGAAGATGAATGGATAAAGAAGAGGTGGTACATATACACAATGGAATATTATTCAGCCATAAGAAGAAAACAAATCCTACCATTTGCAACAACATGGATGGAGCTAGAGGGTATTATGCTCAGTGAAATAAGGCAGGTGGAGAAAGACAAGTATCAAATGATTTCACTCATATGTAGAGTATAAGAACAAAGAAAAAAGTGAAGGAACAAAACAGCAGCAGACTCACAGAACCTAAGAAAGGACTAACAGTTACCAAAGGGAAAGGGACTGGGGAGGATGAGTGGGAAGGAGGGATAAGGGGGGAAGGGAAAGAAAGGGGGCATTATGATTAGCATGTATAATGTGGCGGGGCACATGGGGAGGGCTGTGCAACAGAGAAGACAAGTAGTGATTCTATAGCATCTTACTATGCTGATTGACAATGACTATAATGGGGTTTATGGGGGTTACTTCGTGATGAGGGGAGTCTAGTAAACATAATGTTCCTCAAGAAATTGTAGATTAATGATACCAAAATAAAAAAAAAGTAGCTGTGAAATTGTGGCTCTAGTGTTTTGCCATACATACGTGCTGTATTCATTAATTTCAGTGAGCTGACAAATGTACAAATCATGCAGAAGTGTGTCTATGTGTGATATTGTAAGGGAGACTTAAGATACCAACTGATGTTCTGATGGCATTTTATTGATGAATCTGTGTGCTGGGTCCACGTTGTTATTTCAGAGTAATGTCAATGGAACCTTTTCTGTGGGTGAAGGATGAAGTGAAGCGGAGTCACTTCCTCACCATTTCCTTGGAATTGCCAGGGCTGGATGAGGCTCGATGGGTGTGAGACACCACCGAGGACCCCCTGTTCTCCCCGAGTGCTTATGAGGGCGGGGGGCCAGGGGTGAAGCCGGCCTGAAGTTGGCCACCGGAGGGGCCTGGCCATCCACAGACACCAGGCCCTCCGAACATTTCCTGCCTGGAGCCATGGTGGCATGGTGACCTCCCCAGCAACCTGAGCAGGAGAGGAGGCTCCATTCAATTATTTCAGAGGGTATAACAGCCTCCCCAGAGGAGAGAAGGAAGGGGCCGGGCCACAGGCGACAACCACCCTCCACAGTGGCCCCGTGTACCAGGACCTGGCCACTTCCTGGCCTGTGGGCAGACCTTCTCCACTGCTACCCAAGGAGCAGCTATTCATGTGAGGAAACCATTGTATTTGGCACACAAATGTTAGATATTTTTACTTCCCTAAAAAGAACAGGATGACAAAAACCCTACGGAGAACTCAGGAGAATCCAGGGTCGTGAGTGTCTGCCGCTCCCCATTGAGCAGAATGGCCCCCTCCCATCCATATGGAAACACTGGCAGGGGCCCAGGCCGCTATAAACAAGCATCCTGATTGCCTGAGGAAGACTGGGCTTCCTCATTTTTCCAAAGTGGAATTTGTAACAGCTTCTGCCCAGAACATTTGTGTCCAAGGTCCTTTCATCTACCAGGCATCCTGTACAACTACCATATGGCGGCTTTGGATTTCTTCCCACTGCAGCTGGGCACAGGACTAGCCATACTGGCCAGCTTGCTAAAATAAAGAAATGATTATCTCCTAAGACCTCGGTCTGGTATTCAGATATGAGTCTTAATAGGATCCCTTCTGAGGAGCAAGCAAGAAGTTCCTCTCTGCTTCTGCCAAAAGGCACCCCTAGAAATGGGGTAGGCTCATCAGTAAGCACAGGAACCCCAGGGCACAGGCGCCAGCCAGGCCTCAGGAATACACCTTTTGCACCACTTGATTCTCAGACCCTGATGGGCCTTTGCTTCCCTCAGATTGACTGGCAGCACAGGGTTACAAGTGTGCCAGATAGTAAAACGTAACGCTACAACAATAGATCTGTGGTGCTAGCACGCAAATCAAGACTGAGGTCAAGAAGAGAATAGAGCGATGCTTCTCAGAGTGGTCTGTGGACCAAGGATTGGTCTGGGAACTAACTGTGTGTTACAGTCTATGACAAGTTAAGGAGCTTGAGCTTAGAATGTAAGTCAGCTGTGTCACTAAGCACATGTCTGAATCAGGCTGACCATTGTTTTGGTAGCAAGACTGTCTCAATGAAGGAAGCAGTGTGTAGATTCACATTCTGGCCTGTTCTTTACCTCGTCACGGACAGGTCCTTTGAGTAGCTGCATATAGTGACTTTGAATAGTCCTGGAACAATTCCTAGTATAATGTATTGTATAAGAAGAACCACAAACCAATAGGGAAGAGAAGGTTTATTCTAAAATTAGGTTTGGAAAACTGACCATGTATGTTTTTAGGGGAAGAAATTTCTTAAAAAGAACATAGAAAAATCTCAAACTGATCTCACAGTTTCTAAAAACTTCCTTTTAAAATATCTTTTCAGATTACAAAAGCAATAAATGTTCCTTGCAGAAAATATATAAAACACTAAAAAAAAAAGAAGGATCACCCATACACCTGCCTCCCAGGAACAAACACTACTGCTATTCTGATGTATGCCTTCCAGTCTTTTATTGGTTCATACAAGTATTTAGTAAAACTAGGGTCATATTATACATATATTACTGTGTTATCCTTTTTCCATGAAATTATTATTTTAAAATACAGAAAAAGAATCAAAACCATGTATACAGCATGATCCTGGTGGTGCAGTTTTGGTTGGTTTGGTGGGATTGGTTTATACATACAGGTACTCATTAAATATACTACTGCCTTCTAAAATAAATTTTAAAAGGCTACCCAGGTGAGAGGATTTTCTTCTTTACATTTGACCTTTAATTAACAAATTTCCTGCAAAGAGCATGCATTACTTACATCATCAAGGAAAATAAAACAAAAGTTTGTCACTCACAGCCCAGTGTTCTTGACACTGGTGTTTGTGGGCTTCATTCTCTCCGTCCCAGACTTGCCCTCAGACCATACCCAGAGCCATGGGCCTGTCCCTCAAATGCATCTCCTGGTCTCTTGGCTAATAATGAGAGAGAGGCATGCAAGGGCAACCCTTAAAGAACCACTAACAGCATGAGGGCTGTGCATCTGGCAAGCACTGCCCAACACGAGCACACCAGCCACATTCACTTGCCAGCCCTGCCCAGGGCCTGCCTCTGGAAGAATGAGGAGGCAGTGAGGATGTGGCCCCACTAATAGAGCCCAGAGATCTGATTTCCTGATATGTATCTCCTGCATATTTCAGGGCATCTCTTGTGCTCATAGATCTGCAGAGGCTTTGAAATCAAAGCTTTCCCTGTTAGGAAGCCCCTGGTTGAAGTCCCCAGGCACTGACAGTTGGCCTTGTGCAACCTTGTAGGTGTGAGTGAGGCGTGCCCTGGGCACGGTGGCCTCTGCTTCGGGCTGCAGCAGGAAGCACGGTGGGAAGCAAGGCTTGAGAGGTTTCATTCCTCACCACTTCCTCATGTTTGGCCCACCGAACCAAGGACAGGCCCTTTCCAATCCCATCGTTGGCTGGAGCCCCTCCCGAGAGGAAATGAGTAGGGAGATTGCAGACTCTGAGAAGATTGAGAAGGAGCACCCTGCTGTTCTCGGCATGTTGGCCCCAGAGACTATGAGCAAAAGGCCTGGGTGAGAGGCCCAATCAGACCACAAGCACTCACAGGCAAGAGAGGAAGCAAATACAGTTCATTATTCTGGGATCTGCTCTCAGGAGCACGAAGACATTTCTTCATCAACAGAACTGCAGAGACCAAGTAGAATCAGCACAAATAAAATCCAAATGCACACTTAGACCAGCGTGTCCTTCCCTCCTTACAACTCTGGGTACTGTTTGAAAAAAACAGTACTGTAAGCCTGTCATGATAACCCAGGCTGAAGTAAGTGGGGAGCAGCTGGTAGGCTGGGAGAAGCTGTGGTGGCCTAGATCCTCCTCAGGCAGCCCCAAGCTGGACTGTGCTGGGACTCCTATGAGCCTCGTGTGTGCTCAGTGACCCCTCTGTACCTTGGCATTGCAGGCCTGGCGCTGGTGCCAAGGAAGCTCTGTGGCCATTATGCCTGGGATGCCAGCGTGCTGCTTCAGGCGTGGCCAGCCGTGGACCCGCAGTTCCTTCAGCAGCCCGACATTGTGCAGATGGCAGTTCTGGTAAGTGTCCCCCCAGAGCCCCGGGAGAACCTGCCGGGGCTGGTCACTGCCCTGCCTGCGGCCCATAGACATGACCTGGGCTTGGAGGTATCTGGCCTTTGTAGCCCACCCGCCCTCACCCCGCCCTCCCTGCCTGCCTCTCTCCTTTGCCAGTGCCTGCAGTTTTGGGGTCACTGCATACTAAAGCTTGTGAGCATAAAGCTCACCCGGCCCCCAAGGGGGTTCACAAGTGAGAAGAATAAACCTGTCCCACGTGACAGGTCTGATTGCCATCCGGTCCAGCTGTGTCTGGATCTAAGCCTCTTTCAGCTGCTGTCGGTTCTTGAGGAGGAACGGTGACGGTGAGGGCTGGCAGTGCAGGGGCGCCTCACTTGGGAATATGCATTTCAGAAGAGCTACATAAAATTTCTTTCTTTTTTCTCTTTGGTAAATTGCATCATTGTAAGTACATAAAAGCAGCATATTGCTTAAACCTTTTATAGAGCAAATAACTGTCATAGTTTACCCTTTATCTAATGCTTACATATTTAATATGAGACACATTTTAAGGAATCTCTTCAGTACCCTGATGTGGCTGAAGAGAGGAGGGGGTGCCCTTCCAGCATGCCTCCTCTGAACCCCATGTGGGGCCAGGTGATTCACATGCTATCACCCAGTACGGTAGGTATTACCATTCTTGTTTTTTTTCCCTTGAGAAGCCAGCCTCAGAGAAGTTCGGCACCTTGCCCAGGTTTGTTTGTTTATTCATCAGTAATTTTCAAGTTACCTGTTCTACATCACACAGAGCCCTAGGCCTTGGGAATACTAAATCAGAGTCCCTACTCTTATGGAACCTAAAGCCTAGTGGAGAAATAGAGGCAAAGAAAAAGGAAAGAGAAAAATAAAGTGATTGAACATGTGAAAAGGGCCTTAAACAAACCCACCGAGGGCCAGCATGGCCCCCCCAGAGGCTTCACCTGCCAGGCCCCCGCCTGTCTGTGCCAGCACACCCTGAGCCCCACGGGCAAGTCACTTTTGGAAAGAGTGTTCCACCCAGGGTACCAGCCTCCTTCACAGCAGCTCCATCCCCACACCACCTCCCCTGGCACCTAGTTCCCTGCTGACCCCACTTTACCCCCCTGGTGGGGGAGGCAGGAGGGCTGCACTGGAAGGCTGCTTCCAGAAACCCTCGGAACCACAACCAGCCTGTGGCACAGAGAGGACATTTCTTTAACTTGAGTCATGTTTATAAGAAATAAATATCTCATGTATCCCTGAGAATTCATCCTCAGCACAACTGAGAAATGCCCCATTAAGAAAGTGAAGTTTTAGTCTATAAAATATCTATTTTAAATTATCACTGCAAAAAAGAAATTTAGTTTGGTAATTGGTACAATAATTTTAGATTATCATTGAAATGAAACCCAAATTTGAAATGTATTTAGGATGTCCTGCAAGTACACCCAACTTGAAAACCTCCAGGTCAGGGCACCTGGACACATGGCAGAACTTCCCTGAGGTCTGTGTTCTGTCCCCTCATGATCGCAGTTGGTGCCATGACCAGAAATAGAAGCTGCAGCACAGTGCACTGTAATTGCGTATGATTCACTTCGGCTGTGCAGTGGTATGACAGGCTGGGCGAAATACCAGAGATACAGGGCCCAGAGGCACCATGTTGTCTTCATGGAACTCAGCTCCCAGGAGGGGTGGTCCAGGGGCACCCGTGTTGTCACACACACGGAGTTTAATGTAGCCTCAAGGTGAAAATGTAAGAGCTTGGGAGTCAGACCATCCCAGTATAAGTCTCAGTTTTCCAGAATACTTAACTTTCATAAGCCTCAATCTTCTCAATTATAAATGGAGGCAAACACAGTGCTTGCCTTAGCCAGTTGTTGGAAGAATTAGATGGGGTAATGGCAGGAGGTGCTGAGACTGCTTCTGGACACACTAATGACAAAACCTACTAACATATATTAAGCACCAACTAAGGACCACGCATTGCCCCAAGAATTAACTCATGCTTTGCACACCAGCCCTGTGAGTGGGTCCTGTTTTTAATCCCCATTTCACAGACAAGGTAGTTGTGGAACTAACTCCACTTTACAGGTGAGGAAACAGTGGCAGAACAGGGCTCAAGAGCTCAGGTGGTCAGTAGTAACTGCTGTTAGCATCAGCATTGGCACTTCTGGAGGCTGGAGGGTAGGAACAGGGTCATGAGGATGGGGTTGTGGGAGGGAGGAGCAGCGTCCCCTAGTGGAGAAAAGGGTGCTTGGAGATCAGAAGCAAAGGCAGGGGAAAGCCCTCCGTGATGCCCGTGAGGTGGAGGCGCTGGAGCAGAGGCAGGGCCGAGCAGGGCTAGACAGAGGTCGGCTCCCTCCCAAGGGGGTTCAGGGCTGGTGGGGGGTGTGAGCAGAGGAGAGGGGATCCATGATGTCATCCCATCTCTACCACCTGCTGGGGTGGGGCCTTGGAAGTGACTTGACCTAATGGGCCTCAGCTTCCCCATCGGTAAAATGGGGGGTGGAATGGCCATGCAGCTACCTCGAAGGGTTGTGGCTTGCAGGGTGAGTGGTGATGGATGGGGTCGGGGGAGCAGCCAGTGGCCCATCGGTTTGGAAAGTCTGAGAGGATCATGCTGGGGCTCTGGACCAAGGTTGTGAGTGATAAGATGAACATGGCAAAGATGCAGGAGCAGAAGCTTTCTTGCATGGCCACCCCATGGGGACCGAAAGACATTTCTGAAGTCAAACAGCCGCTATAGAGGTGATGTGACAGCACTGTTTGGGTCCCTGAGGGCCAAGTCCAGTGTCAAGTCCCATGTGGACTTCTGTTGTCCATGTAGTTGGCACCTCACACCTAGGAGGAGGAACATGAGTGAGACCCACCCACCCTGAAAGGAATGCCCTGGGTAGGGCTATTCAGGGGAGCCCAGGGAGCCAGGCACTGAGAGGGCAGTGTGGAAAGCCCACTGGGCACCGCGGCCGCCTCCGGAAGTCACCTCCGCACCCAAGAGCCCATCTGGGAACCGCATAACCTGGCTTCCCTGGACAGGCCTCACCGTTGACAGCTTAGAACCAGCACCGGGCTCGGGGGAAGCACCAGGGCTTTGCTGGGTCTAGGCGTCAGGGCCATTGTGCTGAGGCTGTGTAATGAAGAGACATCTTGAGGCTGGCTCCTTCCGTCCTGGCCAGGAGTCTTGATGAAGGCAGAGGGAGTAAGCCTAGTGAGCCTCACTTTACACAGGTCATCTCACTTCTTCCACTCAAGAAGCCAGAGAATTCTGTCCTTAGAGAAGAGAAAACAGCTTACAAGTCCAGGTCCTAGAGTCAAACCTGAGTGCGCCCTGTGTATGAATCATGTGCTCTTTCACCGCAGGAGAGGCCTTACCCGAGCCGCTCCTCCCCAGAGAGAGGGAGGGCAAGCAGGAGGTGGGTGCTGGGGCCTGCACGTTCAGAGGGGTGTGTGTCCGAGGCCTCTGGGGCTCTGCAGGAGGCTCTGCAGGTGCAGCAGCATGAGAGGCCTCTCCTGAGGTCTGTCACACCACACACATGGCTTGGAAAGAAGGCAGCTTCTGATGGCTTAGAGCTGTGACGGCAGAGGGACTGTGGTCCTTGGAAGCGAACATCCCAGCTCCATAGCTTCAGAACACTAAGTCCCTGCAGTGTGAAGCCTCACACTTTTTTAAGACAATAATGGTTTCAGGACTTGATGTTTTGTTTTGTCTCTCACCCCGTGTAAGGGTTCTTATGGGCCCAGTGGGACCCAGGGTTTGAAGCACAGCTGTTTAAGTCACCAGGGCCTTGTGGTCCCTTTCCCCCGTGGCAATGTCAGTCATATTTGATGTGAAGTGTGTCTTTATGAACTGATGTTCAGTGAATGCCCATTGCCGTCTGGAACTGTACTACCCCATTTTAAGCAAGAATTGTTATTGTAATGTGGGTGAAATTTCCACGTCATCAAACTGGAGCACCCACTTCAGGAGCCAGTCGCCAGAGAGAGAGAGACTGCCTTCCTTCCCCAGAGGTCGTCCACCTGAGACCTAGGTAAAACCCTTAGTGACACCCCCAGTAGCTGGATCTGAGCTTAACTTGATCCCCAGGGACACAGCCTACGATCCCCCCAGAAACAGGTCATCTCTGAGCCCGTTCATGCTGAGGATTTCTGATAGCATCCCCAGCACAGCTGTGCTGGGGGCCGCACTCCCGGAGCACAAGGTGGTGCGCACTCCAGGTGTGGGCGCTCACATGTGCTCTGCATGCTGGCCTGTGAGCTCTGCCCCCTCTCCCTCCCTGCATCTCCTCCCTGCTGTGCTCAGGCATGAATCCCGTCCATCTCATTGCACTTTGTCCCCTTGGGATGCTGGCACTGCCTTTGCCTCCTTTCTCCCACATGTCCCCTTCCCCACCGATGAATCTGCACCCTTTACCAGAAGGGGTGTTCGTATCAGGCTGCCTGCCCTCAGGACTTCCCTCATTGTTTGTCCTGGCTTTCTCCTTCTCAGATCAACAACAAAGCCTGTGGCAAAGTCCCTGTGCCCCAGCAAGTCGCCCAGGACCAGGATAAAGTCCATGAACTTGTTCTCCAAAGCGAGCTGGGTGTGAGGCTCTTGCAGGGGCGAAGTATCAAGAAGGCCTTTCTGTCCCCCAGAACTGCCCTCATCAACTTCCTGGTGCACGAGTGACTGCAGACACCTGTGGCTTCTATGGGGGCCTCTGAGGAACCTCCTTCCGGGCCTGGGATGAGGGGAAGCCGTCTGCTGGCCCGGGGCAGGGAAGAGACAGCCGCCTTGTGTATTTACCCTGTGCTCTGGCAGACTGGCATCACCACTGTGCCTCTGTGGTTTGGTCTGGTGCAGGGGCAAGGGTGGGTATGGGCAGAGGGGAAACGAGCAAACAGGGAGGGATCCAGCAGTCCGCCACCCCCACCCCACAGCAAGGTGGAGAAGGGCACCAGACCCCAGGTGAAGCCACCAGAGATACTGCGGGGTGGGAGCAGAAAGGAGGAAAGCAAGTGAGAATGAGCATGATGCCTCCTGAACAGCCCAGCAGCTCCTGGGCCCCAGAAATCACACCACCCCAGGCATGCCCCAGAGTGTGAGGGTGAACTGAGGACCCACATGTGGCTGTTGTGGCTGGTCGGTAACAGTGCTGGCATCACGGTGACGGTCTCCTCACCTTCGGGCCAGATGGAGAGGCTGTGTGTCCACATATGCAGTTTGTGCAGTGGCCGCTGGGTCTTCAGAGTTGCTCCTGAACCGGAAAGCATGCGGCGCTCGTGCTCTGCAAGTGGCCCCACTGCTGAGCCTGCTCTGAGGTCGACACACAGGCTCTCCGGTGAAGCAGCCCCTCCTAACCACTCCTCAGGGCGTAAAGTTTGCAGCGTAATAAGGAGGAGCCAAGCTGGTTTGGATCTCAGACGGAACCAATCCAAGGGCCCCTGCAGCACAGCAGCGAGCCTGCTCACGTGGGCCACAGAGGGCAGTGCCGCCACCGACGTGGCCCCCAGAGCCAGTCTTTAGGAGGAGCGAGTTCACTGCAGAGCGTGGGACTGATGCCACCCAGGCACTGCCTCCTGTGTTCAAGCCTGGTGGCCAGCGAGACAGCCAGGAATGCACCGTGGTGTTGGGATGCTGCGGTAATGCTGGGTTTCTATGAAGTCAGCAGTCAGGTGCTCTTACCAGAACTGGCCTAAGCCACTAGTTAATATTTAATGGGGAAATGGAGGAGAATCTAGCCATTTTATGATGCTGATAATCTGTATTTGTTTCCTGATGCCATTTTTCTAAGTAGCCTCAGATGTGGCTACAGTTTAGCAGTTAGTAGGTGACTTTCTTTAATGCATTAAAATGTTTGTCATGTATTACTTCCGGATATTTGTGTGATCTTGGAATAGCCACCATATTCCAATTCTAGGAGTTAATCAGGAACAGACTGAGGTATCCCGTCAGCATCAGGACCATTGGCAGTGTGCCAACCTCCACGTGGAATGTTACAGAGGGAGGTGTATGTGGAACTGTCAGAACAGGGCAGACTACACTGATTCAGGGACAATAGCAATAGTGGTTGTCACTGGTTCTCAAAAAAGTAGCTCAAACTTAATACCATGCCTGGTCCCATACCCAGAAATTCTGATTGAATTGATCTGAGGTATGCTTGGGCATCAGGGATCTTTAAAGTTCCATAAGTGATTCTACTGGGCAGCAAAGTTTGAGAACCACTGAGTCAATTCGTGCATTTGAACCATGATGTCTGACTGCTCTTTCCTCTCCATCTTCCTCTGCACTGGGATCAGTTTGGTCTAGGACCAAAACATGATGAAGTGGAGCTGGGAAAGACTGGGGCCGGAATTTAGGAGCAGAATTTAAGACATTCCCAGAGCTTGCTTGAGTGTCCACAATCCGGCTCCACATCCCAGCCAGTGTGGATTAAATATAAGCAAACAGATGAAGGTATTTGGTGCAAAGAGGGAAGAGTAGGTGTTTTTGCTGGATTATCTTGTTTATTCCTTACCATACCTGGTAAGGTAAGCTGAGTGGTCTTGACCCCATCAACAGGATGAGGGTAGGGAGCCTTTTCTCTGCACATAACCTGGCCACAGCAAAAGGATAAAATTGTGAAAACAAGCTCATTGGTACCACTAAGGGTTACAATGGGACAGGAAACTGAGAGTCGGGGCAGGAAGGTGAGGAGAGGAATGATCTCAATCCTTTTTTATAACTGCCTTGGTTAGGTCAAAAACTGAACCCAAGTTCCCTTGTGGTATGTCATTTAATTCTCACAAAAACTCAGGAGGGAAGCAATTCTTCCTTCCTAAATATGAAGAGACCAAATTTGCTCAGTTTCCAAGAAAAAAGTAGAAAGGCCAGAATCTAAACCCATGTCTCCTGGCCTTCAGATCCCCTTCTGGTCCCCGACTGTGTTTCCCCAGTCCCCTTACCTAAAGGCCCATCTTGCTTGAAGTACAACAATCAGGAAATTGAGCTGTTGGCCGAAAGTTGGCATTGTGAGTGGAGTCTGGCCCAGCCTCTCCTCCTGTGACGTCCTCGCATCTGTAAAGCTGTGCCATGTGTAGAGGAAAGGCCAGAAGCACTGGGTTGGTTCCGTAGGGCACAAGGCGAATATTGCCAAAGCAGTGGAAGATTTCCTATTCTGTCAGGGAAATGAGGGAAGATGTGCCCAGGGAAGGTGCAGCCTCCAGCAGATGTGCCACAGTAAGAGCCACCCACCTGCCAAAGAAATTAAATTGATCTCTAAGAGCCTAAACAGTAAGTGAGCTGGGGAAGATGTCTAGGCATGCTTCATCCCAACCTAAATACACGACTGCAGGGAACTGGTTTAGAAAAACAAGGTGCAGCCAGCAAAAGATGGTTTTTAAAAAACAAAACAAGTATATGAAAATGTTGTCCTGAATAAAGCAGTTTTCTTACACAGTGTGCCTCCAACCATAATTTTCTTTTACTTCCAACCCTTACAAAAGAAGGAAATGTGCCCACAGATCAGTAGTTGAGAGTCCTACAAGTTACTTTTGGCTTCTGTTCTGTTTATTTTTTTTGCATTTTCTAATTTTTTTTGGCTTTGTAGTGTTTCAGGAATGGAGAAAAAACATAAAAGATCCAAACATTTGTGAAGATCCAGATGAGCTCAGGACCTGTCCCCCTTGATTTTCCTTTTCTCCCAGTCAGGTTATCGGCTGCCTATGGGGATGGCCTGCAGATAAGGAACATACTCCTGTCGTGGGAAGTGTAGTCCAGGGAAGCAACGAGCAGCCGCCGCAAAGCCGCTTTTGGCACAGCCACTCGGTGCTGGGTGGTGCGGGAAGCTCCCTGCCATCTCCCAGCCCCAGGGTCTTGCACCCTGCAGACAGAAGAACAAGATGACATCCTTCTCATGGAACTCTCCTGTTCTTGCTGGGCAAAGCAATACTGTGGCCAAAGGCATGTGCTCTGGAGTCAGCCAGACCTCAGCTCTGTGGATCTGACCTCGAACCTCAGTGACCTAGCCATGGGACCTCTCTGACCCTGTGATTCCTCAACTGTAAAACAAGTAAAAATAATAATGCCCTGGGAGGGGTGGGATAAAATGATGTGAGGATATGTGTGTAAAGCATGTCATAAGCTCTTAATAAAAGAGCTTACTGATTTTGCCTGAGTAAAGATAGGCTATGGTCTAGAATGAGATTATCTTTGGTCAAAAAGAGGGGAAAGTTTAGAAGCAATGCATCCCAGGTGCAGTGTCGATCCTGGCCTTCCAGGCCTGTGGAGGAAAAAGATTAAACAAGTAACCTTGGCAGAATCTTATCCCGTTGGCAGAACCAGCCCTATTACGTGGTATATTCACCTCATGCCCTAAAACCCTAGTGCTGTCTAGTCCACATGTTGATTCTATGCCTCCTGGTTAGTGTTTGGGACCCTCGTGTATGTGATTTCTCCCTGGCGCGGGAGACCCTCTTTTCCTTAAGTAGTGGTCCAGGCCCTGAGCGGCCTGCCAAGGGTCCTAGAAGCTCCCAAACCTTTGGGTGCCACCATGGCCATCCACCTGTGCTCCCAGAAACATGGGATCATGACATGGAGGAAGGAATGGAGCAAGAGACGAGAAGCTGAGAGCCAGAAGCCATAGGCACGAGCCAGCCCGACCCCTCAGGTCACGTCTGGCTGGAGTGGCCTGCCTGTGGTGCCAGAGTGGGTTTCCCCACGTGGCATCTACATCCCAACTTCAGCAGCAGCTTTTGGAAGGACAGCCAGGCTTTGCTAGGGACTAATGGGGCAGCCACCATTCTTGCTGCCTCTGCTTCCTTGGCTTGGGATTTACCTTTGATGCTGCTGGGAGCCAGAGGTTTGGGGCCAAGTGGGGAAGTCCACCCGAGAAGCCTGCAGGCCGCTGTGGCCCAGGGAAGCATCAGAAGTTTTCTTGTACAGCTGCTTTAGTTCCTGAACGGAGCCCCAGAGGAAGGGTTACGAGGCCATCAGTGCACACGGGCACGCTGCACACGGCTTCCCGCTGGGCCAGGCTTGGCCATTAGGGCCCACAGGCCCAAGAGGACATGGTTTCTGCACCATCTGGGCAGGCTTCCACCTGCGGGTGCCCTACTCAGCCTTTCTCCTCATCCTCAGAGAGAAGAGAAGGGGCAGCCGAGGTTCCAGGGTTATTCTGTGCACCAGGCCTATTCAAAGGGCTTTGCTGCTGCTCCAGAATCCTCACATCACTGTTACAAAGTGGGCATTGTGACCCACATCCTATAAATAAGGAAACGGAAGCCTAAAAAAGTAGTAAAGTACCTAAGTTATGCCACATTAACTGGTAGGGCCAGGATTCGCTCCAGGGCTGCCTTCCGTTCACAGCTCATGCTGTCTCTCCAGCACCAGCTGCCTTCCTGGGAGGAAGGAATGAGTGTCTTGGGAGGAATCCAGCTTGTTCTTGTCCTTTTCTGTCCAGGAAATTCTGAACTGGAGCTCTGGTATATATGTGGCCCTGCAGACCTGTCACCCCGAGGAAGGGGCTGGGCTGGCCTTTTGTGCCCTGAATGTGTCCGTCATTGGCTGTGGGTTACTTCTGCGGTGGGGGTTAATAAGTTCCTGGGCATCTTGTGATGAAGGGACCCCGCACACACACACTGGCTCAGGGAGTTTCCAGAGTAGGGTACAGCTGAGCCATCAGCACCGGCATTCAGAGCGGCTGGGGACACACACCAGCCGGTGAGGAGGTGGCCACCACAGAGGGCAGGAGTCCAGGTCTGAGAGGCAGCACGTCTGCAGGTGAGGGAAGGCTCTCTGCAGATGGCAGAGTCACAGGAGAAGAATGCTGGGGGGTCCTCCGGCCTGCCTTCAGGCCAACGGGCTGTGTGGCTCAGCAGTGGCGCTGAACTGGAGATGCTGGTAGGACCTAAGTGGACGTTAGCCCCTTTACAGAGGACAAACTGGCTCAAACAGGCTGTGACTTGCTTGAGGACATGACAGTAGGTAATAAAGTATCCCCAGTCTGGGCTCATTCCTCTCAGAGCACTCCTCCCCTATTGGTGGGCAAGCCTGGTGCTGACCCCAGGGAAAATTTAGCTGAGGTTAATTTTCATAATGGATGAGCCCTGCCACACCCTATAGACCAAGGAAAAGCCTAGGGGTAGACAAAATGACATGTTTGCCCTCTCCCTTCTATAAGAAAAGCAAGTAGAAAACATCTGTTTCATGGGCTGGATCCTGGTCTGATGCTCAAAGGGTGGGTGGCTAAAGGCTCTCATCCAAGCTGATGAGTTTGGAGATTGGAATCTGGGGTGACCAACGATGAGCAAGTAGGGAATCCCTTGAGGGTGGGTGGGAAGGAATGAGTGTCTTGGGAGGAATCCAGCTTGTTCTTGTCCTTTTCTGTCCAGGAAATTCTGAACTGGAGCTCTGGTATATATGTGGCCCTGCAGACCTGTCACCCCGAGGAAGGGGCTGGGCTGGCCTTTTGTGCCCTGAATGTGTCCGTCATTGGCTGTGGGTTACTTCTGCGGTGGGGGTTAATAAGTTCCTGGGCATCTTGTGATGAAGGGACCCCGCACACACACACTGGCTCAGGGAGTTTCCAGAGTAGGGTACAGCTGAGCCATCAGCACCGGCATTCAGAGCGGCTGGGGACACACACCAGCCGGTGAGGAGGTGGCCACCACAGAGGGCAGGAGTCCAGGTCTGAGAGGCAGCACGTCTGCAGGTGAGGGAAGGCTCTCTGCAGATGGCAGAGTCACAGGAGAAGAATGCTGGGGGGTCCTCCGGCCTGCCTTCAGGCCAACGGGCTGTGTGGCTCAGCAGTGGCGCTGAACTGGAGATGCTGGTAGGACCTAAGTGGACGTTAGCCCCTTTACAGAGGACAAACTGGCTCAAACAGGCTGTGACTTGCTTGAGGACATGACAGTAGGTAATAAAGTATCCCCAGTCTGGGCTCATTCCTCTCAGAGCACTCCTCCCCTATTGGTGGGCAAGCCTGGTGCTGACCCCAGGGAAAATTTAGCTGAGGTTAATTTTCATAATGGATGAGCCCTGCCACACCCTATAGACCAAGGAAAAGCCTAGGGGTAGACAAAATGACATGTTTGCCCTCTCCCTTCTATAAGAAAAGCAAGTAGAAAACATCTGTTTCATGGGCTGGATCCTGGTCTGATGCTCAAAGGGTGGGTGGCTAAAGGCTCTCATCCAAGCTGATGAGTTTGGAGATTGGAATCTGGGGTGACCAACGATGAGCAAGTAGGGAATCCCTTGAGGGTGGGTGGGTAGGGGGTCAGCCGTGGTGCTGGTAGGGAGGGAAGGGCCTGGAGCAGTTGGGGAAAAGCCAGTCCTGTGGGCAGAGGCCTCAGATCCCAGGGGTTGGGCAGGGGCAGGGGCAGCAACCCCAGAGGAGCTGACCTCCGTCCAGGCCACCGTCACATCTCTAGGCCTGCCCCTTGAGGAAGGGGTAAAGGGATGATGAGGCCCTGCGGGCAGGTGGTGGCCAGGCCTGCCAGAGCCCAACCCTCATGACTCACCCCCTGTGTCTCCAACCCTGAATTTGAATTCCAACCCTTATGTGGCTCCTGGAAGAGCATGCCTGTGCCACACACTCAGTGTGCAGGGGCCACGGCCTGTGGCCCACCAAATCAACAATTATAGCTACAATTTTCCGAGGATTACTGTATCACGTCCTGTTCTAAGTGCTTTACCACAGAAGGGGCCTTGCTCAAGACCACAGGGGGAAGACCGCAGAGCTGTGAGTCCAGCCCTGTTCGCCTTAACTGGTACACTAATGCCTTAGTGGTCTGCTAATTCCTGAATGTCTACCAGTCATCTTTAGCAATAAAAACTGTATAACTGTCAGCTAACTGATAATGTAACTATAACATATAAACCCCTAAACCTCAGTGGTCATACACAGCAGCTTTATTTCTCATTCCCTTAAGGCTAATCCTCGAGAAGGGAGCAGGAAGGAAGTTCTGCTCCAACTTGATGGAGGGCCCCACGTTGATGGAAGTTCCCCATGTTCAACTCCTGGCTTTCAAGGCTGTCCTGGGTATTGATACCCAGCCCACAGATAAGGGGAGAGAGATACAATTTCATAAGGAGGTTTGTATGGGCATGGCCTAGAAGTGGTATATGTCACTTCTGCTCACCTTCCTTTGGCCAGAATTCAGCCAACTGGCCTCATAGGGCTGCTGGGAAATGTGGTCCCGACTGGGCACACTTCCCAGCAACAACTCTGCACAAGGGAAGGGGTCCCCAAACCTTCAGTGGCCGGTAGCTGCCTTTGCCACCTGAATAATCTTTGCCAAACTTGGCGGTCACTGTACATCCTAGTTATCTTCTGAATATCTCAGTTCCTCTGCTAACACTGAGGTTTACAGACATTTCCTTAGTGACCACTGTTTACCTTCCCAATCTGTAAAAGCTGCCAATTACGGCTCTGAAATAGCTTGCAGTCACAGAATTGG